AGATAGATAGATAGATAGATAGATAGATAGATAGATAGATAGATAGACAGACAGACAGACAGACAGACAGATAGATAGATAGATAGATGGGGGGAGGTTTCATGGAACCTCAATGATTCACCACATATTTAACTGGAGATACTGGGACATGAACATGCTTAACCATGAATATGTTAGTTCTTCTGTAGTGCATTACTTAGTGGAAAACATAATTGATGAAGAGAAGTAGTTGGTTTGTATTTTTCTTTTCCTAAAAATGTGCTGGTCTGACACCATTGAACCAAAGACCTTATTTCTCTATGAAATTGTTAGAAAGTCCAAAAGCCCTAGAGCTCAATAGGAATGTTTCCATTTTTATTCAAAGATGACTGTAAAAGTAGCTCAGAACAAGAGTACAACCTGCCAACATGTCATATGTGAACATTAGAATGTGGCTCACACCACAAGAGAATCCCTGAATTCTGTTACTTGTGGTTGAAAACCATGTAGTCATTGATTTCAAGACTATGTGCCTGCCATTTCCAACTATTTAATTCAGCTACTTGTCATGGCCCACATGAGATTCTCTCACAGCACACATCTTGAAATTCATGTTCTGTTGCATTGGTGCATGCACAGCAGCTGTTCTAATACATCACATTTCCTCTGGGTAGTAAAATAACCCACTTTCTGATTTGCACAAGACATTAAGCCATCAACGATGTAAATTGGCTGGGTTGGCCGCACACTAAGCCACCCAAAAACAAATAAACAACAACAACAACAAAAACAAGGTTAAAAGGAACCAAGCTTTGCGCACTATGCACATGGAGTCATTAGGTGTTTAACAGCCTTGATTAGATGCGTTGTATGGGCACAGTATGAGGAAGAATGCTTGGTGTTAAAAGGCCTTTGCAAATTCTGATACAAAATGACCTGACTCCTAAATTAATGTGGCATTCAACCATTAATTAAGTCACACTCTGCATATTTCCCAAGAGTACCACAATGAAAAAGAATGTCAAGATGCTTGGAAAGGAAATATTTTCTGGAGGGATTTGATTCAAAATGCATAATTTAATGTAACTTTTACATGACCATTTTCAAAAAGGAACTGGGGAATGAAATAGACTAGACTTATTGATGGACGCATAAAAAGATGGGATGAACCATAAATATGAATTTGTTCCACCAACCAGATCCACAGCCAGTTCCTGAGAATTCCCAGAGCTGCATGCAGACCCCATCCCTTTTTTTCCTGATTTCTAGATATTCCTAAAAAAGTCATAAGACTTCCCACCCTGGAAAACATTACAACTGTAGTGGAAATACCACTGTAGGTTTAATATCAAACCAACCACAACAAAAAGTCAACTAAACTTCACCTAACCCTGCTCCCAATCCCAAAATACAAAAAAGACCCCCCCACACAAAAAATTACGAACCAGTCCAGGTATACTTAATATGACCTAATCTATTTTGCATTATTATGTCCTACAGCTGCATCAATTGTCAGTTCCCACATGCTATCTATGGGATGAAAGTGCTTAGTACAATACAGTGGTAAGATTCAAAAAATGGCTTAGTGGGCGTGGCTTGGTGAGCGTGACAGGGGAAGGATACTGTAAAATCTCCTTTCCCACCCCACTCCAGAGGAAGGATACTGTAAAATCTCCATTCCCTCCCCACTCCTGCAGGAAGGTTACTGCAAAATCACATTCCCTCCCCACCCCACTAACCTGCTTTCCAGCTCTGTTCTCCTGTGCAAGGCAACAAAAGAAGAACCAGCCAATCAGCTGGGACTCAGAAGGCAGTGAATAGGTGGGAGCGAGGCCAGTCAGAGATGGTATTTGCTGGTTCTCCAAATTAATCAAAATTTCTGCTACCGGTTCTCCAGAACTGGTCAGAATCTGCTAAATACCACCTCTGGTACAATCCCATCTATTCTTCCATCACAGCTGCACCTGTCAGGCCCTTCATTTGAAACAGGCCAATGCTAAAGATCGGACACAACCTAATGGCTAATAAGCAGTGATATTAAACCTAAATTACAAAAATTCAGATGGTCACTTGATAGGAATACATCTTTGCTGGCATCTCATAGTCCTCTAGATCTTCACAGTCCAGACCCTGACTACTAGCAATCAGTAAAGGGAAAACAGCCTCTTTGAACTGAATGCCTGCACACTTTCTCCCTGTACCAATTTATACCCTGCTGACTTCAAGCTAAACCAGGAAAAATTGAAACTCTTATGAATTTAAATATCCACATCTATAAAATATTTTTAAAAAAATCCAGAAAGTTATATTACTACATTGTTTCATAAATTCTGGAGGACATAGACAGAGAAAAAGAAAGAAAAAAGAGAGAAATGACATGCAACAGGATTGACAAAATCCTTCTTCAAAACTGTGTGAACATAATAGATTGTGTGAACCTCCTATGCATGCCTACAAACGTCATCTGATTGTCAGTCAAATAGATTCTCTTTCTAAATCACCATCTTATTCAAGAAGAAATCCCTAGAAATTATGAGGCAATCATACTGCATAATCCAGATTGAGGGCCAATCAAGAGCTAAAAGTATTGACTCCACAAGCCTATACATCAGGAGTACTTTGGCCAAAACGGTAGCTCCGAAGATCACCTGGAAGCGAACTGGTTTCCTCTGATGATCAGCTGTTGGGCCCACCTGCCCGCCCTGGCTCCATACTGACTTTTATTTCCTGCTTTTGATGCTCAGCTGCATCGCACAGCACAGCACATGGCCGCGCGTCGGCTGTTGAAGAGACAGGGAGAGTGCAGGAGTGCAGGAGAAAATCAGTAGGAACGACTCTGCAGGCGTGCAAAGTGCACGTTTTCCACATGCAAGTGCAAAGTGCACGTGCGTACGCAAAGCATGTCCACCAAGCCATGCCCACCAAGCCAGTGGTAAACCAATTTGAATCCCACCCCTGCTATACAAATGCCTATACTTATTTGATAAGATATTTACTGTAGTTTATATGCCATTACATTCCAGAAACTCTAAGCACTTTATAATAGCAAAAAAAACCAAAAACCAAAATCACCTGGTGTTAGGAAGAATAAAAGAACATGCACATAAACAAACAACCCTTGATAACAATATCCAGACCAATGTACCTACACTTTTGGGGTAACAGGATCATTCATTTCATCCTGCACCTCCCTCCAGAAAAGCCATCTTGAGTCTTCAAAAACTTCCCCAAGATTGGACAACCCAAATATAATGTAGTTAGTTGTCCTAGTGGAGGGATTCATCACAGAAAATGTTGAATCCTGGGGTCCTTTCAATGCCATATGCCATCATACCATGTTGCAACAACATCAGAATGTATTTCAGTTATCTGCTCAGAGGGATTGTATAATGATAGTAATTTCTGTCTTAAGAACTCAGTGAGTAGATGGAAGTACAACAATGTTGTAAGCATTCTGTGATTGCTAAGTAGCAAATTGCATTCAAAAGGTTTAGCAAAGGAATGACATCAAAACATTTACCACTAAGAAAACAAACAAAGTGTTTGGTAGGCTACCGTCAGGCTTCTTAATCTGGACTATACAGAAGCGACCGAAACAATTTTCTATACTATAGAATCTATAGCATCCAAATACAAGCCAAAGCATCAACCTTCTACCAATTACTGTCTAAAGTAGCCCATTTTTATTTGTCCATCCCCCAGCCTTGGTATGTTTGCACAAAAATAGCCATTATCAAACTTTACGGCAGTAGCTACAAAATAAGTTAAGTGGTTTTTCTAAATAAGAGTTGGATTTTTGCAGGCCAATTTATCTCCTCTTCTGATAAAAGTGCCGGTTAACTAGCAAATTACTGTATTTTGTTGGTTATAACATATTACCTTCTCACTTACTTGATGCCTCACTGAGAAACATACTCTTGCTTTCCTTTCCTTTCTCCTCCTCCTCCTCAAATAAATCTCCTCCGTGAAATAAAACTGCAAAATTGCCAGGTCCCTGGAATGTCACACTGATTTCTATCCATCTGTGGCACCTTTCACCCTGTTAAAACTTCAGGAAAATCCAACCATAATGAACTGAAGCAGCATTTCCATCCCACCCACCCACCCCATCACCACAAACCCACAAAAAAACAGCAAGGGTGGGGTTTTTCTCCCTCATTGCCCAAGAACGTTCACATGTACCAGCAGAGCCACACCAGTATACTTGTCCGTGCAGAAAACGGCCCATGAACTGCCTTGAAATTTAATCCTGCTCAGGGCTGACTACAAACATGATCTCATCTGTTGCACACATAGAGACATTTACACACACACTCACCTGGTAAGGGAGAATTTGGGAAGCCTATATCCTTCTCTGCCATGTTCTATGCATCATGGGGTATGTGATTGTGTGTACGTGTTGAGTTTGCGGAAAGAAGGTAGTGGAATCGGTGATGAAGGAAGTTTGACCTCCTGGTTTCCTACGCTGCATGTAACCGTACACCTAATTAGCAGCTTACCTTCCTCAGTTACCTGGGCTTGCCTGACCTGTTTTGCTATAAAGTGACATCACCTCTTTTGATCTCTCCAGTTGAATTTACATATTCTTCAGACACAATAACCAGTTGATTGACTTTTGGCTCCACCTATCCAACCTAGTCCCTCTCTCCTCTCCCTCCTTCCCTCCTTCCTCCTCGCTCTCTCCTCTCATTTTTAATCTGCCCTAGTCTTTTTTTTTTTTTTTTTCAGAGAAAGCTGTCTGCTCAAACTCCGTGATTTTCAGGGCCTTTTCTGAGTTACTACACTGAAACCTAGGGTTTTCTGCAAGAAACTGGAATGAATTTGGACTCATCGGAAGAAGCCCATGGATATATTTCTATATAGAGAGGGGGAATATAATAGTCTAGGTTTAAAACAACTATTTGAAGCTTCATTTTCCCTGTCAAACTGCACATGCCAACCTTTTTATTCTCCAGAAATGCCTTGAGAATACCCCTGTGATTATTCTTTTTCTCTCAGACCCATGGAGAGGGAAGGGGAAATGTCCACTTTTCCATATTTTTCTAAATGTTTACTGGAATCATATTACTAATTAGACAACTAGACAGAACAGTTTTTTCCTGAACGCCATCACTCTGCTAAACAAATAATTCCCTCAACACTGTCAAGCTATTTACTAAGTCTGCATTACTATTACTATTTATCCTCCCATTCTTCCTTTCATCCATCCCCTCCCACTTATGACTGTAACCTTGTTTCTTGTATCCTAAACAATTTTGATTGACTGTTTCCTAGTATGATTTGATTGCTTATTGTACCCTATGACTATTATTAGGTGTTGTACCTTATGATTCTTGATGAATGTATCTTTTCTTTTATGTACACTGAGAGCATATGCAAATAAGACAAATCCCTTGTGTGTCCAATCATACTTGGCCAATAAAGAATTCTATTCTATTCTGTTCTATTCTAATATTAATATTATCATCTTTGTGGTTAGAGTATTATTGGCAATAATATGTCCATTATCAATATTATTATTATTCCATTGGGTGATGCTCCCTGCTTTTCCAGACATTTAAAGTGATGGGGACACAAAATATGGGAGGAGGATAAAGGTAAGAGTAAGAGTTAGGAGGAGGGCAAAGGGAAGGGGAAGGAGGCGGATTGATTAACATAAGGGAATATGTTAAGATTCTGAGAATGAAGATATGAATTACAGATTTGGAGACAGTCACTAAAAGGACTAAGGGTCTACAATAAAAATAATTCAATTATTATTACAGGTAGTCCTCAACTTACAAACGTTCATTTAGTAACTGTTTGAAGTTACAACAGCACTGGAAAAAGTGACTTATGACCATTTTTCACATTTATGTCCATTGCAGAATTCCCATGGTCATGACATCAAAATTCAGATGCTTGGTAACTGACTGACATTTATGACAGTTGCAATGTCCCAGGGTCAGGTGATCAGCTTTTGTCATCTTCTGATAGCGATTCACTTCACAACTGTGGCAAGAAAGGTCGTAAAAAGGAGCAAAATTCACTTAATTGTCTCAGCATCAGAAATGTTGGACTCAATTGTGGTTGTAGATC